CAACCTCCTCCACAAGCTCCATTCCAACCAGGAATGCAGGGTAGTTACCAACTTCATTCAATACAAAGTGCTATTAGACCCCAATAACCACCTGATCACCAACTTCAAAGCACCAATCCTTCTGTTCGTAATGCTTTCACCTGTCAAACACATTTGGAATATGCCAGGGAGGTGGGCCTCCATAGCATGTCTCTGGGTAAGATCCTCAAAACATCCCGGCACTGGGCACCGAGATCCTTGCTGGCCACATGGAATATCCTCTAAAATCTGTGCCAGCAACGGAACATCTACATTATCAGGAATGGCCCTGATATCAGATGTTCGGTCTCTAACGCAACCTATACTTACCTTCTCTTCCCCTCCACTGAAGATTTGGCCTTCAGAGAGGGACTGTTGACCACGCTCACCGACCTTATTGGCAAGGACCGGCTGGCCATCTGCATCTGATTGGTTTTCATGAAAATCAATCCCGTAGATGACAGAAACCCTGGTACCCTGCTGGCCACCTAAACCGGAATCCGAAGACTCCACTGGTTTGGTTACCAACGGTACCACCTCATCTACATCTGTGAAGAACTTGACCCAATTGGTATGGGCCTTTTTACAATCTTCACATCCACCACAAGGCAACTGATCCAGCCGCGCACCAGCAATTCCACCTCGGCATGTCCCACTTTGCAGTGGTATTTTTGACATTGCGTCAGCATTGGAATGCTCGCGACTCACACGATGTCTCAACACCATGTTAAACTGGGACAGCTCTTCCAGCCATCTCCCCAGTTGCCCTTGTGGCTCCCTGAAATTCATCAACCACCTCAGACTTGAATGGTCAGTCCTGACCACAAATGGTCTTCCTAGCAAGTAGTGTCGGAACTGTTTGGTGAACCGAACTACTGCTAGCAGCTCTTTCCTGGTCATGCAAAAACCCTGTTGCTCCTTGGTAAGAGCACAGCTACCAAATGCAACAACTTTCTCTTGGCCCTCTTGCACCTGCAAGAGCTCTGCTCCAATCGAATCATTTGAAGCGACCGTTTCCAAGATAAATTCGTCCTGTTGATTTGGCAACGCTAACACCGGAGGTTGCGTCAACAAGCACTTCAAAGTCCTGAATGACTCTGCTTGTTCTTCGCCCCAGACAAAGTTGGCTTTGCCTGTGACGGCGTACAATGGGGCTGCTACCCTAGAGAAGTCCTTAACAAACACTCTATGATAGTTAACCAACCCCATAAACCTCTCTACCTGCTTGGCACTGTTTGGAACAGGCCAATCCTTCACCACTGCTATGTCATGTTCTGTCATAGCAATGCTGTCTTTGCCGACTTTACGGCCTAAAAACTCTACTTCTTGTTGGAAGAAGATAAATTCCTTCGGCTTAAGCTTTAGCTTATGCCTCCGAAATCTCGAAAGAGCCTCCCGCAAGTTTGAGAGATGGTCCTCAAAATTGCGTCCAAGCACGATGATATCATCGAGAAATGCCAGGACTGTCTTCCATGTCAAACCTCTCAGGACTAAGTCCATTGCTCTGGCAAATGTGGCTGGGGCACCACACAAACCAAAGCCTTCTCTGATGTTCAACTGGAAGAATGCGGAGTTGGCATCCAATTTTGAAAACCAAACACTGCCAGCAAATGTGTCCATGCAATCATCGACTAAAGGCAAAGGATACACGTCTTTGACTGTAACCTTATTCAACATCCTATAGTCTATGCAATAACGCACAGAGCCGTCATGTTTTCTTATCAAAACTGGAGCAGATGCCCATTTGGATGTGGCATCTTGTACACCCCCAGCCTTCGGCATTCCCTGAGGCTGGGCCTCTTCTTCCCCTGCAAAGCATGTTGGCTTTCGCCTCATACCTTGCTTCACAAGCTTTGCCTCCTTGGTATCTATATCACGTTCCTTATCAGTGAAGTCACCAAGGTCAAGTTCACCATTGATGAAGACATCTTGGAACTCAATCAGCAATTGCGCTAATTGAATCCGTTGACCTTCATCAAGGCTGCCACAAGAGGTGTCATAGACCTCCTGCAGGTGTGGTGGTATTGGACCAACCGCACCTGATGTTTCAAACACTTTGCTGGGCAAAGATGTTTCAACATCACACTCATTTCTGACAACTTCACTGATGGCAAATGCCCTCCCTATCTCTGTTCCCCTCCTGACAAGGCGGTAGCTATCTGATGGATTAACAAGACACAACACAGGGGTGTTAGTGCCTTCATGTAACACTCGGGGAACCAGAAATTTCTTCTGGTTCACTGGTTCCACGATATAGCTATGCAGGGGAGAGTGTAACTTGCATTGGACTCTCGCCACAGAGTGTGGAGGGATAACCTGTCTCTTAGACACCGTGACCTTGGATACCAAGGGACTATCTGATGAATGGACATCTAGGGAGATGCGCATACCATCAAAGTAAAGCTCTGCCTTGCTCATGTCTAGCACAGATTTGCCAGGGTCACGAAGCAAATCAAAGCCCAACAGCATTTGTTGCTCAATGGGGGCAACAAACATGTTGACCTGGTACCACTGGTGACCAACCTTCAACTTAACCGGACCGGCTACAAAGGCTGCCATAGACAATTCCCTGCCAGCCGTTTGCAGCTTGACATCCCTTATCTTGGGGGGCTTGTGCTTCAGGGAATTGTAAACCTTATCAGAAATGATGGTCACCTGGGCAGCAGTATCTACCACTGCTGTTACTTGGACATCCCCTACTTGGACCCCCATGGTAAACTGGGAAGAGGAATTGACCTGACAGACAACAATAGGGTCTGGTTCGACTCCCCCCGTGCTTACTTGGCTGAAATTGGCAGCCAACCGGGATTTTTTAATTTTGCAGGTCTTGTCTGCAGACAGGGACGGGAAACGACCTACTTTTTCACCGTCCCATTCTAGTTTAACGACTTATGGTTGTCGTTAAGCTTAGGGCAATTACTTTTGAAATGCCCTATTTCGCCACAATTGTAGCATCCGGTTGATCTGCGGGGTTGGGACAATTCTGACAAAAAGGTTTTTGTCAGTCTTTGCTCCAGGTCATTTAAGGCTTTGCTTAAATCATTGGTTGACATAGGCTCTGCCTGCTGCTCCCGTGATGGCTGGGATGCAACAGCAAAAACCTTTTCCGGTTCCTTCCTGTCACCATACATGGCTGCATACACCTGTTGGTACTGGCGTACCATTTGTATGGCTGCATGCACAGACTTTGGTTGCTGCATGCAAACATGGTGACCGGCCTCTTTGTCAACCATACCCTGACAGAATCTGTTCACTGTTTGGACAGTGACAAACTCCTCTGGCAGCTTCTTAAAAGCTCTATAACCTAGAGTGAGCACTCGGTCAGCCCACTCATCTAGGGACTCGGTTGTCTCTTGTGCTGCATTCTGAAAACTTACCTGTGCAGCAGCTGGTAACTCATGTTGGCCAAATCGGGCAGCCAACTTGCTAACCAGCCTCTTGTATGTAAGCTGACCTTCTTGTTCACAGACAAGCGCATAATACTCGAGCGCTTTACCATCTAAACAGCAGACAAGGCAGCTAACTTGTTCTTCATCAGTCCACTCGCCTTGTTGGACATAGCGAGTGAACTTTAAAAAGAACGATTCCCAAGTACTCTTACCATCATATGATAAGTGTTCGGGAAAGGCAGATATCCAGTTACTAACCCTAGAACGCCTATGGGCAGATGGTGCCCTGGCAAACATAGAGTCATCACTGCAATCACTATCCACTACCTGGTCAAAACGTATGGTACGTTTAGGGGTGGTATAGTCTGGAAGTGGTAAGGTAGGGGGGTGTGTGGATTTTGACTTTTTGGCAGTAAAATCCGCAGGAGTCATCAACTTCAGATTTTTATGTGGAAAAACCTTGTCATCTGTTGCAAGGGTGCAAACAGATGACCGTTGTTGCTGCTTGTGAGCGGCCAGAACATTGGTTGCCGCTTTCACCACCTTCACCATTTCCAACCAATCATGTGCACTTGGCTGAATATCTTCCTCCTCGTCCTCGTCTGTGTCTACCTCCAAGCTAGATTGGCCTAGCTTGTCAGTATTCGCAGCTGACAGAGACATATTCTGTCTAAAGTCTATCATAGCAAGTATCTCAGGGGAGAACTTGCGACGACAGACAGCCTCTAAAATCTCCCTGGTTATAATACCAGAGCTCTCCCTCACTGCAATGAGCGCCTTGGCTAGGCTTGCACCCACATTAGGTATTGCCTGTAGCCTTTCCTCAGACGCAAAGTTAATGGCAACCAAGGGTGGTTGCACAACCTCTGCTTCCTGAGAAAATATCTCGAACTTTCCCTTTATATTGATGTTCTCCATAACAACGAAAGATACCGAGAAATATTCAAGTTAAAATGTGTTTTAACTAAATAAATCTCAGTATCTATCTTCTCCCCCTTTATATGGCAAAAGGGCTAAATGGAGTTTATCAAAATATAACAGTTACTGTACCAGTGGCAGCAGAACGAAAAGGAAATCCGAAAAATAAACAAATTCCAAAGAATTTGGTCCTTCCAGGCAACGTCTAACCTAAGCGGGATTTGCTGGCAAATTCCCGCTTAACTACGATTATTTACGTAGAAATTCTGGTTTAAATCGTTCAAGCAGAGTGGCCCACTATGAACAAAACCAAGAATTCAGGTAGACTCCGTTCTATGAGTGCAGAATTTGAGGGCAAATTCGTACACAATCGGTAAAATTATGGACCTTTGGTAGCGTCTATCTTTCGGAACGGAATTCGTAAAAATTACCGCTGCCACCAATATAGAACTGTCGCGATTGATTATAAAGGGATTGACAATACAAACAATCGACTTACCTTCCACGTCTGGATCGTAGCCAAGCTAGGAATTGCCTAATTCTTCTGCCGTTTCTGGTTATATTTAATACACAAATATGGCGCCTAACTGTCAGCCTAACACACTAGTTCCGGTTTGTCCGGAACCTTCCGTTAACTTCCGTCAACTCCCGTAACCAGTACCATACGGTACTACACCCCTTTGAACAAAACTAAAATTATGCTGTAAAAGTATTTTTCGCTCAAAGTACACCATGCCAAAGGCAGGAAGCTGTTTATTTGCAATAGGGTAATCCATTTCATTTATATTAACATGGGATATCAGTCTAACTTTCGGTATATTTGTCTTGTAACGAATATTAATATAACTGCCTATATTTTGGACAAATCAGGTTTTCGGATAAGGTAGTTCCGACATAAAGAAATCTGACCGATTTAGTTCTTTATTCCTTTAATTTTAGATGTTAATATTTAATAAAATGCCAATCTCTTGATAGAGCACATATATTTTTATGTAAAATTATTTTCATAGGAATAATAGTTGATATTTAATGTTACCTGGTCACTAAGCTAATAAAAAGCCTAATTGTACAAGATACACATTGAGATATGGTATTTTGCTTTTTAATGATGGGTCAGGGATCACGTTTCTAGCCGACTTGGGCGACAAAGTCGCCTTTTCTCTCCATTTCGCCCGGATTGCTTAGAAAGGCGAAAACAAAGTCGCCCTAATTTTCAATAAACGCTTGCAATAAATTTTGAAGTGTCAAGCAGCTCGGTAATCGTCTACGCTCCTCCTATTTCAAAACAATTTGTTAAACGCATTTTCATTGGTCGGTAAAATCTGAAAGCCACTGAAACGCAGCGAGACAATTTAGCGAGTGTTGGAATTGAATGGTTTTGTCAAATGCCGACTTTTTATCAATAAACAACAAATAAACAGATTAGCGGCGAATCATGTCAATTAGAACAAATTGGGGGCATACTTATTGCATTAATTAGTCGGTAAGTTTAGTGATCTTATTCACACATTTTCACTTTACCAAAGCGTGTCGCCAAGAGTGTTGGTCACATGTAAAATTTGAAATTGGAATTGGATGTACATGTTTCGATGTTTACAATTGTCTCAGCAATTTGGTAAATGGGTCTCGTGATGATTTATGCCTTGATTATTATTCTTTAAAAGAACTTTTTTTAGAAAGTTTACAAGTAAGCAAACAATAAGACACTGATGTCATTTGCTGGTTAATGGTGGCGGTGAAAATACTGAAATAGTATCACCGATAGATCTAATGCATTATGCAGAAAAAGTCTGTCGAAGAAAAAAAATATCAACTGTTCACACGTTACCTTTTCTTAAAAAAAATAAAAATAAATAAATAGAATATAAGAAACATCCACATAAAACTTATTAAGTTTATATGAACTTTGACTTGGCACTCCCTATGAATATTTCTGGGGATAATGATGAAAATCATGTATAGGGGCCTACTAGTGACTTACTAAATTTTTTATTTTTTTATTTCAGCACAACATCACATGGCTGCAGCATTAAAATCAAAACAAGCTACACAAAACCTATAATAAAGATGATATAGAAGAAAAAAAAAGACTGCCACATTTGTAATTTTGCTGTTTATTGTTATGAGTTACTTTATAAAGTGTTATGTACTCCACATGATGTTAATCAATCTTAAAACTTAGTATGAAATGGAACATCAACACTTTGTTTGTTTGTTTGTTTGTTTGATTTTACGCCTTTTCCCAACAGTATTTCATTCATATAGGCGGGTAGTTTTCTAACCATCGTTCCTGGAGAGTTACACCAGTACTAGACTACCTTCCTCCGCGCTAAACTACCAAAGCATCTCCCGGGGATCGAACCCACGCCAGAGAGGTAACATCAACACTTAAAAAAAAATACAGTTTGTATGCAGTTCTCCTTGTCCCTAAAAACTTCTCCCTATTTTCACTTGAGGGAGAAGTCACTTCTCCCTAAATTTTAGGTCTAGCGTGATCCCTGTGGGTACAGTGGATTTTTAGCTAAAAACCAGTTAGAAAATTCAATAACCTGTAACCGAGGATAGATTTTGACTAAGGGGCGGTAAAGTTTAAAATTGATTCTAAATATTACCTTAGTTTTATATGACAAGATATGACAATTGTTTGTATTTTAGTTGTACTCAGCAATATATTTTTTCTGATTTGATGGAATGCCGTAAGACCCTAGCGGAAAATAGTTACTTTATACTAGGATATGTATTGTAAACATTTTGATAACAACAAAATATGAACAAAGTTGCATGATATCTTGTCCTAAAGAAACAAAGTTAATGTTGTAAATCTAAGGATTTTATTAGTACAGTTGGTTAAACATTAAACATTAACATGTTTATTATGTGGCTGTTTAAATGGTTAGCATTTTTTCTAACCGTAACACCCCTAATTTTGTGTATAGGCAATACTTATTCTCTATGTACAACAGAAAAAGTTCCTTTTCTATGGTGAAGTTTGCACCAGGATTTTGAGAATGCTTTGAACTGTCTTAAGGTGATTCCGCATTGTCAGCCATGTTTGTTTTAACGTAAGTGGGTCCAAAGTGAAAAGAGACCAAATTTCGTAAAACGACAAAGCTCACAATGTAAAATGATAAACAATTTGCAATTACACTTCCATGTCTATGTTTTCAGAGCTACTATAAACAGAAATGAAAATGATAACATTAAAAATATTTTCCTTGAATGTGCTAAATTTCTGAAGACCAAGTAAAATCTATTGCAAAGTTTTATGCACATTTCACGAACAGCAAAATCTAGTTTAAAGTCAGTTGAAGTGCAGAGGGATGCTATTTTTTGCAATAATTATTATATTCAGCTTAAATGCACTAAGATGCCCTACAGTACATGTTGGTGAACAATTTTCATAAAGCTGATGGTCTAAGCATCAAACTCTTGACTATATGGTTCACTCTTTTCAGAAAAGCCAAACTCACTTTGTTGTAGCTGTTCAATCAGCTCAGTAATCTTAGAGGATAAGATTATCAATGCAATTTCTAAGCCTGTTTCATATTAGCTTATTTTTTTGAATAGATAATTAATAATAATATTTACTAACAAACTGTTTGTAATGTATTAAATGTCATAAATATAAAGTTGTACGATGTACAGCCACAGATGTTGAACTCAGTGTACACATAGGGTGGTCTCCATTTTCCCTAATTTTGGCATAGAAGTCACTGCTTTCTAAAACATCCCTCTAGGATGAGTCCTGTTATCCATTTCTGCATAAATTCCATTTTTTTTATGAAAATATTATTAAAATATTGATTCTGATTGGAAACCAATTCATATCATACCATGATTACCACTGACTTCACATGACTTGTTGAACAAGTTCTTAGTTTTCATTTGCTGCCATTTTCAAATTTTCACTTAAATCCATGTTTCACTACAGAAATGTCTGTTTCTGGTTTTGATGTACAAGGGTGATTCTGACCCAGAACAAAATCTAAAATCTAAATCTCAGAATCTAAATTTGGCATGTCAAAATATTTTGACTCACCATAACCACGCACAATAGTTTAAAAGAACTTACGGGGGACCGTCTTTTAATCTGAACAAAACCATTCATCATATTTTGGGAAATTTTCAAAGTCTGTACTGATTAAGTAGTGAACAGTGCAAACCATGATCAGATGGCCAGAACTGATGTGCAGGCTAATGTTGCTCGGTACTGTCAGATTGCATGTGTTCAGTTTATTTCCACTTGCAGGTCAAGGGTTAATCTTCATTGGTAAACAGCGTTTTTTTTTCTCTACTTTGGGAATGGTGCCAGTACCAGACTGATTGGGAAAAAATGCGTTATTTTGACTAAAATTGGGAATTTTTTTTAATGCATTTTTTCAGCTACAAATGAGATTAGACATCATGAATAAAGATAGCTAACAGCTTTTACTGTCAAGATAGAACTATTGAGTGGTGATCATTTATTTGAATATGTTGGATTTAAATGATTTTAGAAAAATCACTTGGCCTTGTGGGCATTTTGAACAGCCATTTTGGGAATTTAATATTGGAAATTGGGAATTTTAATGTCTATTTTCTATTGGGAATGGTACCGTTTTAGGGTAGTAGTTATATAAAGAAAAAAACCACTGGTAAAGCTAATTTGCCTAATAATTTTAATCCATGTGAATGTTTGTTACAACATACATAAACCCATTTATGATTTTTCATACAAGTTTTTTTTTCTATTTTAAACCATGATGGCAATATGACTTTTTTTTCAAAAGTAAGATGGCAAAAATGTGATACTATTCACAGGTCTCTGGTATTTGCAGTTGTTGAGAGACCTGATTATACCTCACATACTAGGAGAACTTCAAAATGTTAGCTTAAATAGACAGTTAACATAATGATAAGAATAAAGTGGGATTATGTCTCAAGTTCTTCATTGAGAAACAAAATATTTGGAATTTTTGTAGAAAATATACATGTATATCTATCAGGCAATGCCATTCTTTTTCACATCACTAAGTTATAAGTCCAAACAATTTCTTATTGAGAATTGTAAATGCATAGAAATAAAGTACATGGTAAGAGTAGACTTGGAAAAGAGGTCCCTTGTGTAAAAATTATTATTGATGCTAGGTTAGAGTAAAGAGTTGATGTGTTTGTGATAAGGCTGTCTTATAACATTGATGGAAAGATTTGTACTGGTACAATGTATATCATGGAAGCCAAGTATCTACAATATATCTATGTGTTATAAATCATGCATGTTTGTTTAAGACATCACAAATACCTAAGAAGGTATTTTCCTTGTTTTTGTATGTGACCTCTGAAAATTATATTAGGGGTTCAAGCTAGCTTAGAAAAAGAAAGAGAAGTGACTTTAATCATGTTAATATAAATCTCTTCCGAAAAGAAGAAGTAATTTTACTAGACAGGCAAAATGGATTTTTTTAATTGTATTGATATTGTAAATTATGAATCATTATTGAATCAAATGTTGAATATCACTGATAAATCAATATTGTGATATTCAATGATAGCCCAGAGTTAATGGTCTAAATGCAGCTAACTAATATGGCTATTTGTTGGATAAGAATGGACCTACATGAGCTCAGTACTTCACAGTGATGGAAATAATTGTTTTTCCTTTCATATTTTAAGGAAAAGTAAGATGATAAATGAAGCAGTACTTCAAACTTTAGATCTATGGTGAGATAATACATGCCTTACCAATGATGTTACAATTTTCAAAACTATGTGGAACACAATTCTCCTGCAAATGCTTTTTTCTCTTGACATAATTATAGTTGATATCACATATAACTCTATTACAGGTATTTCCTGTATACAAGGACCCGGTTCGGAAGATATTACCATGGGAAAGATATTGCTAAAGGGAAGGAAAAATACAATGAAGATGGACATACAGTCATTGAGCCTACCATGTTTGATAGTATGAATTTATCATTATAGTAACTAGAGAAGGTTTTAATTTGTAGCTTTTAACAAAAAATAATGTATCTCACCAAAGATTGGCTTAATAACTTGATATAATTTGTAAAAAAAACATTTTAAGTTTTACTGTCTGGTTTAAGCCTGAAAATGGGATAAATTTTGTTTGGGGGTCTGAGTGGAGAAAAAACACATGTTTTCAGGACTAAACTATGCAGTAAAACTTCAAAGCTACATTAATTAAATCTCATAAAAAAGAAATAACTACTTTTTGTTCATCAAATATGTTTCATATCAACTCCATTCTGTTTTTGTGTGTGTCCTTAATGAGTTTTATAAGCCATAAATTCAAATACATATTTTATTTAATGTAGCTTTAAACATCTTTCAAAAATATATCAAGTACTCAAGACAGTCTTTGGTGCACTACATTATTTTTAGCTCACCTGTCACTTTGTGACAGGTTGAGCTTTTGTGATCGCTTTTCGTCCGGCGTCCGGCCGTCATCCATCCGTCCGGCGTCCGTAAACTTTTACTTTAAATGACATCTCCTTGTTAACCACTAAGCCAATTTCATCCAAACTTCACAGGAAAGTTCCTTTGGTGGTCACCTTTGAAAATTGTTCAAAGAATTTAATTCCATGCAGAACTCTGGTTTACCATGGCAACCAAAAGAAAAAACTTTAAATATCTTCTTCTAAAAAACCCAAAGAGCTAGAGCTTAGATATTTGGCATGAAACATCTTCTAGTGAGTGTCTACCAAGTTTGTCAAAATAAAAATCCTGGGGTCAAAATTGGCCCGCCCCAGGGGGTCATTAATTTTCCCTATATGTATATAGTAAAAACTTAAAAAATCTTCTTTTAAAGAACCCAAAGAGCTAGAGCTAAGATGTTTAGCATGAAATATCTTCTAATGGGTGTCTACCAAGTTTGTTCAAATAAAAGCCCAGGGGTCAAAGTTGGCCCGCCCCAGGGGGTCATTGATTTTTCCTAAATGCATATAGTAAAAACTTAAAAACATTCTTTTAAAGAACCCAAAGAGCTAGAGCTAAGATATTTAGCATGAAACATGTTCTAATGGATGTCTACTAAGTTTGTTCAAATAAGAGCCCTGGGGTCAAAATTGGCCCCGCCCCAGGGGGTCATCAATTTTCCCTATATGAATATAGTAAAAACTTAAAAAAAAATCTTCTTTTAAAGAACCCAAAGAGCTAGAGCTAAGATATTTAGCATGAAACATGTTCTAATGGATGTCTACCAAGTTTGTTCAAATAAAAGCCATGGGGTCAAAATTGGCCCCGCCCCAGGGGACATTGATCTTTCTTATATGTGTATAGCAAAAACTTAAAAATCTTCTTCGAAAAAACCCGAATAGCTAGAGTTTAGATATTAAGCATGAAACATCTTCTAGTAAGTGTCTACAAAGATTGTTCAAATAAAAGCCCTGGGGTCAAAACTGGCCCTGCCACAGGGGTGTCATTGTTTTTAAATATATGTGTAAAGAAAAAACTCAAAAAATCTTCCTTTTAAAAACCCAACGAGCTAGACCTTAAATGTTTAGCATGAAATATCTTCTAATGGGTGTATTCCAAGTTTGTTCAAATAAAAGCCTTGGGGTTTAAACTGGCCCGCTCCGGGGGGCCTTTATACAGGTGAGCGACTTCAGGGCCATCATGGCCCTCTTGTTTGATATTCTAATAATTTCTTGGAATAAATGCATATTTTACCTTCAAGTCAACAGGATGTTTTTAAAAACAACAAAAAAACAGTCCAATTAGGAGCGTTTTGCAAAGTAATCCTACCATTTAGTTGACATAGGCCATTATGACAGATTTACAGGTTGTAAAAGTGATGTCTTTTTACATGATTTTTATCTTCTGTTTTTAGCTCACCTGACCACGAAGTGGTCATGGTGAGGTATAGTGATGGGGCTATGTCCGGCGTCCGTCGTCGTGCGTCTTGCGTCGTTCGTCGTCAACAATTGGGTTGTTAACAGTCTAGCAGTCACAGTTTTGATTGGATCATCATCAAACTTTGTCAGAATGTTTGTCTCAATGAAATACAGATCGAGTTCGAAGATGGGTTATCTCGGGTCAAAAACTAGGTCACAGGAGCTAAAAATAGAAAAAGCTTGTTAACACTCTAGAGGCTGCAGTTTTCATCCAAATATTCTGGAAATTTGTCAGGAAGGTTGTTTTGATGATATCTAGGTCAAGTTCGAAGATGGGTCATCTCAGGTCAAAAACTAGGTCACAGGAGCTAAAAATAGAAAAAGCTTGTTAACACTCTAACAATTGGGTTGTTAACAGTCTAGCAGTCACAGTTTTGATTGGATCATCATCAAACTTTGTCAGAATGTTTGTCTCAATGAAATACAGATCAAGTTCGAAGATGGGTTATCTCGGGTCAAAAACTAGGTCACAGGAGCTAAAAATAGAAAAAGCTTGTTAACACTCTAGAGGCTGCAGTTTTCATCCAAATATTCTGGAAATTTGTCAGGAAGGTTGTTTTAATAATATCTAGGTCAAGTTCGAAGATGGGTCATCTCGGGTCAAAAACTAGGTCACAGGAGCTAAAAATAGAAAAAGATTGTTAACACTCTAGAGGCTGCAGTTTTCATCCAAATATTCTGGAAATTTGTCAGGAAGGTTGTTTTGATGATTTCTAGGTCAAGTTCGAAGATGGGTCATCTCGGGTTAAAAAACTAGGTCACAGGAGCTATAAATAGAAAAAGCTTGTTAACACTCTAGTGGCTGCTGTTTTCATCCAAATATTCTGGAAATTTGTCAGGAAGGTTGTTCTGATGATTTCTAGGTCAAGTTCGAAGATGGGTCATCTCAGGTCAAAAACTAGGTCACAGGAGCTAAAAATAGAAAAAGCTTGTTAACACTCTGCAGCCAATTGTATAAACAATTTAACCGCGCGGTTACCACACGGTTACGGTAACCAGCCCGGTAACCTCGCGGTAAGTGATTGTATAAAAAATATCAAAACCAATAACCGCGCTTTAACCACGGTTAAATCTAACCCAGGTACTGAAGCTTGGTAACTGCACGGTAACCAAAACAAACATGGCGGGCATTTTACGTGTAAGCACAGACAACCCCACAATTCCGACGAATTGACAGATAGGTGACTGATTTGACGGACGAGGAGTTACAGAAAAGATATTGATTTGCTGCAGACAGCATTAAAAAACTTGTCAGACTTCAATGACGGAACCAAGCGCTGATACCACGAAATTTTTTAATCATTGTGGATTTAAATACACAAAACGCGGTTTTTCATCTGCATAGATGACACACATGCAAAAATACAATCGCAAGGACAACCAGACGAAGTAGCTATTGTTAAAAAAAACATCAACATAGCATTTATTTTCAAGCAACTTGAACACAGTGCATTTCAACAACTGCATAAATAAGATCTATACTGTATACTGTACATGTATTTAGAAAGGTCTTACCTGTCAGTGTCTCTGCAAAAGTTTATTCTATCTACAGTACATGTATAGATTAATAATATCCCTCGGATTCACTCGTTTATGACACAAAATCACAAATCAATATAATATAACAAAAAAATATCCACGATCTCTTGTTTATATTTATATTAGTCGATGACGTATAAACTATCTTGTAAACTTGAATGAAGTTTCTACGTCATAGTGTACACGATGACATCAATAATATTGATTACATCACAGCTTTTTGTATGGAAGACAGGTTTCGCCATTATTATTGTTCAACGAGCACACGATCTCTGCAGTTGCATATATGACATACATGTATTGAATAATTATGTAACTTGTTCAGTAGATCTAGATTAATAGCATATTATATTTAAATTTTATAGACTACATTTAAAAAATGTGGGCCTACAATGTAGTCTATGGCTTAATTGGTTTTGTTTTTGAATTTCCCGCAGTATACATGTATCTTTTCACATTTTATGATAAAATAAATTAGAATTAGATCATTCTTGTTTCATTTCATCATTATCTAGCAATAAATGCAGCAAAAGAATTTAATTCATTATATCAAAGTCAAGCATAAGACATATAAAAAAGCACTATTCAACAAGAAAAACGATGTCTGAAGTTTGTCCGCGAAAATTACGTCACATCGTGGTGCATCATTGGTAATATTACCATGGTTAAATTTTCAGTTTTGCGTGGTTAGGTTACCTTGTGGTTAATTTGTTTGTACAAATGGAATAACCGCGCGGTTACCTAACCACAATATATACCGCGGTTATTAACTTACCGTGGTATATTTTAACCATCGTTTATACAATTGGCTGCTGGTGGCTGCAGTTTTCATCCAAATATTCTGGAAATTTGTCAGGAAAGTTGTTTTGATGATTTCTAGGTCAAGTTCGAAGATGGGTCATCTTCAGTCAAAAACTAGGTCACAGGAGCTAAAAATAGAAAAAGCTTGTTAACACTCTAGTGGCTGCAGTTTTCATCCAAATATTCTGGAAATTTATCAGGAAGGTTGTTTTGATGATATCTAGGTCAAGTTCGAAGATGGGTCATCTCCGGTCAAAAACTAGGTCGCAGGAGCTAAAAGTAGAAAAAGCTTGTTAACACTCTAGTGGCTGCAGTTTTCATCCAAATATTCTGGAAATTTGTCAGGAAGGTTGTTTTAACAATATCTAGGTCAAGTTCGAAGATGGGTTATCTCCTGTCAAAAACTAGGTCACAGGAGCTAAAAATAGAAAAAGCTTGTTAACACTCTAGTGGCTGCAGTTTTCATCCAAACATTTTGGAAATTTGTCAGGAAGGTTGTTTTGATGATTTCTAGGTCAAGTTCGAAGATGGGTCATCTCAGGTCAAAAACTAGGTCACAGGAGCTAAAAATAGAAAAAGCCTGTTAACACTCTAGTGGCTGCAGTTTTCATCTAAATATTCTGGAAATTTGTCAAGAAGGTTGTTTTGATGATTTCTAGGTCAAGTTCAAGGATGTGTTATCTCCGGTCAAAAACTAGGTCGCAGGAGTTAAAAATAGAAAAAGCTTGTAAACACTCTAGTGGCTGCAGTATTGAGTCAAATATTCTGGAAATTTGTCAGGACGGTTGTTTTGATGATTTCTGGGTCAAGTTCAACGATGGGTCATCTTAGGTCAAAAACTCGGTCACAGGAGCTAAAAATAGAAAAAGCTTGTTTACACTCTAGTGGCTGCAGTTTTCATCCAAATATTTTGGAAATTTGTCAGGAAGGTTGTTTTGATGATTTCTAGGTCAAGTTCGAAGATGGGTCATCTCAGGTCAAAAACTAGGTCACAGGAGCTAAAAATAGAAAAAGCCTGTTAACACTCTAGTGGCTGCAGTTTTCATCTAAATATTCTGGAAATTTGTCAAGAAGGTTGTTTTGATGATTTCTAGGTCAAGTTCAAGGATGTGTTATCTCCGGTCAAAAACTAGGTCGCAGGAGTTAAAAATAGAAAAAGCTTGTAAACACTCTAGTGGCTGCAGTATTGAGTCAAATATTCTGGAAATTTGTCAGGACGGTTGTTTTGATGATTTCTGGGTCAAGTTCAACGATGGGTCATCTTAGGTCAAAAACTCGGTCACAGGAGCTAAAAATAGAAAAAGCTTGTTTACACTCTAGTGGCTGCAGTTTTGATTAAAATATTTTGGAAATTTGTCAGGAAGGTTGTTTTGATGATTTCTGGGTCAAGTGCTAAGATTTGTCATGTCCGGTCAAAAACTAGGTCACAGGAGCTAAAAATAGAAAAATCTTTTTAACACTCTAGTGGCTGCAGTTTTGATCCAAATTTCCTGGAAATTGGTCAGGAAGGTTGTTTTGATGATTTCTAGGTCAAGTTTGAATATGGGTCGTGTTCTGTCAAAAATTAGGTCACATTGCCCAAATATGGAAAAATCTTTATAACACACTAGAGGTCACATGTTTGACTCAGTTGTCATCAAACTTGGCCATGATGCTTGTTTAAGACATTGCTTGGATGCGGTTGTGTCAGGTGAGCAATCCAGGGCCATCATGGCCCTCTTGTTTTCAACTGTAATCTGTGTTAAGTAAAAACTTTCAAAGATTGTGATATTATGTTCAAGGAGATGAGACAAAAACGTCCCAGCACTCTTGTAAGTTCATTAATTGATACTTCTATTTTATTAAACAATCAATAAGAATAACTCATTTAATATTCTCTGGTAGACGTGTTTAAAAATATCTCTGCTTTACTTATATTAATTTGCTTGACAATATTAATTAAATTATGCTTTACAAATTAACTTGTCCCCTGTGCATGTCTGGAATTAGGTCACATACAAAAATGCCATATTAATCTCAAGAGTTGGAAGTTTTGTATTTTCTAATTTTTTTTTTAAAAATTGCAAAGCTAATTTTTTATTTTGAAACAGGTAATAGTTATGAAGAAGTTATTTAATAAAAAAATCATTGATATTGTTTATGTTTTAAATTCCTGTATCTAATTGTTAATGCTTGACATTTCCCCCAACAAAACTATGCTCAATGAAACAGTATAATTGGATATCAAATGGTGGATGACAGTTTATAACTTGATGACTGCTGCCTCTAACTTACATATAAATTGAATTTACGAACATGGCAAACAGAATATTTAAATATTGCTTTTATTATTCATACTAATCCCTACACAATAGATATTAAAAATAACTAATAAGACATGATATCAGATGAGTGGACTCAGTTTCTTTATGAAAGATAATGAAACAGTGCCACTGAGAAAGTTATTTTCTTTGCAACATTAATGAAGTATCCATATTCCAACTCGCATGGTTATGATGATTTTAAACTAGAATTAAATAGCAGCCAAAAAGAGTAATGGATTTCAGTGCTTATTTTGAAGAATAAACAGAATCCTGTTTCAATTAGTTAATTGGAAGTCCTACTAGACCAGCATTATAATTGGTCAAAAATTTATGACAACTTTTCTTGGACAATTGTATATGCTTGTTAGACAATTTAACATGTGTTACTGGTCAATGGTATGACCCTTTAGTCATTTCACTCTTCTAAATTCATGTATATGAAAGTTATAATGAGAGAGCAGCATTCATGGATTATGCAGCCCCTGACAATGCCCACTCACTCACAGAAGACCACCATACAGGTAACCAGTGGGTTTGCTAACAGAAAATAACTTGACCAGCTTGTATAAAGATAAAGTTTGACATTTTTTTCTTTTATAAAAAGCAGTTGTGTTATCTCAATAGGTAGAGCGTTGGACTGTGAATCAAGCGACCCGGGGTTCACTTTCGTTGTGATTGATCATGAAATCCTTTCTATGTACAGTCATTCACACTGTACCTTTGCTCTGACATGAACAGAAGTTTCAGTTCCTTGCAAAAGTGAAGGCAACTAGTACTGGTAAACTGTTTGACAGCCTGCCCAGAAACGATGTGGTGGCTGAACTGTGCTCTGGTGAAATAAATGTGGCTTACTGCCGTGATCCGAGTAAAAACTACCAATACCATCACCACTTGTATAAAGATAAAGTTTGACATTTGTTTCTGTTACAGAGCTGGAGATAACACCAATACCTGTTGCCCTGGACAACTATGCCTATATTGTCATGGATACAGAATCTAACACATGTGTTGTGATTGATGTAGGGGATGAAGAAGCTATTATGGTATGCTATGTCTTATACTAACAGTAAATACACCATTCCATAAACAATTTTGCCATTATCTCTGCATGAATTTGATTCTTATTTTAAATCTTTCGACACTAGCAACAGTATATTGATACTAGATTCAAATTTAGTTAAAATATCAAAAATTATTTATGTGAGGAAACTTTTAAATGCTGCATGAAAGTGACATCTAATAGACTGTGAGACTAGTCCTCACATCACTGTAACTGTTATAAATGGTGTACATAATACAATAACTGTTTTAATGATGTACATAATAAAATAACTGTTTTTAATGATGTACATAATAAAATAACTGTTTTTAATGATGTACATAAAAAAATAACTGTTTTTAATGATGTACATAGTGAAATAGAATAAATTTCAATTCAAATCAAGGGTGTTTTTCTTACATATAAATTACAATATTAATAATGAGATCAACATATAAATATTCATGTTAAAGAAAATAAAGCTTGATTCGTATTAGCAATTGCAATATTGTACTGAAAAAAAAACTGATATGTGAGAATTTTTTTTTTACTTGATCTAACTATGAAACATTATAAATATTATGTATTCAGTAACTCAATAGTTGTGTCTTGTATTGATGATTTCTTTTAAAGTTGCAAAAAAACGTATTCTGGGGAACATGATTTTATGTCTTTATCTACCTTAATTTCGACATAATATAATGTTTTGCATCTGGTGTATGTCCGTCCGTTAGCAGGTTTCGTGTCCAGTCTGTATCTTTTGAACCATTTGAAGGAAATTAAAATTATTTGGCAGAAAACCATAATCAAATGATGTGCACAGCTAAGGTTTGACCTTCCTCAAGGTCACAATTTTTATCAATTTCAAAATTTTGTGTCTACTCTGTATCTTTTTATCTTTTGAAACAATAAAAAGAAATTAAAACTTTTTAGAAGAAATATAACTTATAATAAGATGATGTGCAGAACACAGGTTTGGGCTTCCTGTCTGCCCCGGGGATTACTTGATTTATATAGACTTACATATCAAAACACATTCAATTTTTAGTTGTTTGTAGAGCTTAGATATTTAGCATGTAGCATTGCCTTATTGACCTTTACAAAACTGATATGTATCATGCCCCTTGGTTCAATATTGACCCTGCACCAGGTGTCACTTGATGTATAAGACATATATAGGAAAAACACATTTGAGACTTATTGTGTGAAACTTTAGTGCCTAGGGCTTAGATATTAAATTTGGCATGTAACATCACTTTTTGAACCACAAAATAACTGGTATTAATCATGCTTCTTGAGTCAATATTGACTCCCCCCCGGGGGTAAGGCTCCTACGTTTACAATTTTTTGTAAACGTTTACACGATTGCTAAGAACCGAAACGATGGTACCTCTATAAAGTATACACACCATGTATTTAAGTCGCCAAATGATGTCTTTCTGTCTAATTTTTATACTGTACAAATAAAGAATGTGCAAGGCTCATCACGATTGAGTCAGCACACATTTTTTGCGTTGTAACCCCATTTAAATGTATTATGTCACAAGCTATTTTGCACCGTAATTCTGTGTGGAGGGTTGTAATTTTCCGTTTGTTTACTTTGGAATAAACCACTAGAATTGATAAAATCCATGATTCAGGCAATGATTAAGAAATTTTGTAAGACAATATGGTCATTTCGATTAAACGGTAAACAATATCGTAAAGGTTTATGAATGAAAATTGAAACGAACCCGTTAAAACGTGTAATCGTGGGGGCCTTACCCGGGGGTCACTTAGTTAATCTCATTTTGTATAGAGTTTAAACATATGACATGTATAGCATTGCCTTCTAGGCCTTTTCCACCTTATATAAAGATTGTTTAGATATCATGATTTTAATTACCTTATCTACCTTATATAAATTCTTAATGTGTTTTTTTTTTTTTCAGAGATTTTTAGATAAAATGAATGTAATACCGGCAGCTGTTCTTACAACACATAAACACTGGTAAAACATTTCTTTTCTATTATAAACATGATTAAACTATTACGTAAGTGATTAAATATTCAGATAACAAAGCCTACGTGATTCTCTTGTTATCATAAGCTGTTACAACTTATCAATCCCTGATCACAAAATCATAAAAAAATTTCCAAGAAATGTAAAAATGGGAATGTAAAAACCTTGACATTTGACCGTCTTTTAAATGTGTCAGTTGGCAATTATGAAACCTTAACTTTCTATTTTTGATCAGTATTTGTTTTTAACATTCTTTTTTTTATTAGTATTTGTTTTTATTGCCTTTATGTTTCAATAATTTTCTCATTTTTAGCTCGACTATTCGAAGAATATGAGAGCTATTGTAGTCGCCCCGGCGTCGGCGTCGGCGTCAGCGTCCGCGTCGGCGTCTGCGTTGGTTAAAGTTTTTTGTAAATTCAAATATCTCAATTATTGCTTGAGATATTCAATTGAAACTTACAATACTTATTTATAGTAACAATGTACATCAGATTGACAAGTTGGATAACTCTACCTACAATATTGACAGAATTATGCCCCTTTTTAACTTAGAAATTTTGGTTAAAGTTTTTTGTAAAGTCAAATATCTCAATTATTGCTTGAGATATTCAATTGAAACTTTCAATACTTATTTATAGTAACAATGTTCATCAGATTGACAAGTTGGATAACTCTGCCTACAATATTGACAGAATTATGCCCCTTTTTAACTTAGAAATTTTGGTTAAAGTTTTTTGTAAATTCAAATATCTCAATTATTGCTTGAGATATTCAATTGAAACTTGCAATACTTATTTATAGTAACAATGTACATCAGATTGACAAGTTGGATAACTCTGCCTACAATATTGACAGAATTATGCCCCTTTTTAACTTAGAAATTTTGGTTAAAGTTTTTTGTAAATTCAAATATCTCAATTATTGCTTGAGATATTCAATTGAAACTTGCAATACTTATTTATAGTAACCATGTACATCAGATTGACAAGTTGGATAACTCTACCTACAATATTTTCAGAATTATGCCCCTTTTTAACTTAGAAATTTTGGTTTATGTTTTTTGTAAATTCAAATATCTCAATTATTGCTTGAGATATTCAATTGAAACTTGCAATACTTATTTATAGTAACAATGTACATCAGATTGACAAGTTGGATAACTCTACCTACAATATTGACAGAATTATGCCCCTTTTTAACTTTAGAAATTTTGGTTAAAGTTTTTTGTAAAGTCAAATATCTCAATTATTGCTTGAGATTTTCAATTTAACCTTACAATACTTATTTATAGTAACAATGTATATCAGTTTGCAAAATCGCATAACTCTGCCTGAAATTTTATGCACTTCTTTGAGAGCATAATAGGACTCTCCCAAAGACCTTTAGCCGTAACATGGATTTAAAGAAAAATTTGGCCATTTTGTTAATTTAGAAAATGTTACATTATCAAGGCTCTTTTAATATCAAACACTTAGAATAGTCGAGCATGCTGTCCTACCGACAGCTCTTGTTTTCCATCATATTAACCTCAACTCCTCATCTTATTTACCTAATCCCTAAATGATATAAACATACGTTTTCTTAATATTACCTATCTCGTCATCCCAGGAATTTTGATACTGTAAGTAATAACATGTATGTTTGTTTTTTAGGGATCATAGTGCCGGTAATGCTGGTATGAGAAATCGATATCCAGGTTTGAAAGTGTATGGTGGATATGGTGACAATGTTCCTGATGTCACTCAGTATGTATTCATAGGTTATACATGTCAATCAAAGTGTGAATGTTCAACAGATTGTAGCAATGACTTAAGGCCAGTTCCCGGGAACTTATCAGTGCTGGTGTCATATAAGGAATGATTAGTTTCACAGCTTGCATAGCTCAATCAGTGAGAGCACCAGACTTCACTGTCACTTGTAATACAGATATTGTCAGTCTGATTCCCCAGCCTGTCCATCTGTAATTATTAAACAGTCTTTTGGACAAGATTCCATGTATGAGTGCTTAAACACTTAATAATCAGTTCAATAAAAAGAAAAGCTTTTTTTTAGCTTTTGACGTATAGTCTTCTTCAGAAAAAATTGATGTTTATAAAATAACAAATGACGCAACATCCGTTTAACTATACGCTAAACAGAATTTGACGTTAACGCGGGAATAAAAATATACAATATATATTTTTTTTTTTGCTTAAACACTTGGCACACTAAAGGACGAGGAGAGTTCCTGGCATTGAGGTATCTTTCTGTATCTGTTTCTTGCACTACCCTCAAAAAATATTAAACGCCTAATACTCTTCTGAAGACTCGTCCAAATTGGCAACTTGTGGAGAGTATAAATAAATTCAGAAACACACACACCTTAAAAGTGCTGGATTTTATGATTCTTGTCTTGAGACAGAGGCAGACACTTTAATCTCTATGCTACACCTCACTTAAACTGTTTGAATGCTTTATTTTATTAATATGACACTGTACTGGTAATAAAGGTTTTCATTTACATAGCAAATAGATCTCCTCTAATAGTAGATTGTAAGGACCCATCATTGTTAAAGTGCTCAATTAACCTAGCTAGGAAAAATTTAATATTGTTAAAATTTAAACATAATTATATGTTATTTAACTTTATAAGGCAAGCTACTACCACCAACCATTGTTGATTTTAAGTCTCTAAGTGAGCTGTAAGGACTGGTATTCAGTTTGCCAACACAAGGTATGTGTTTCACATCATGTTTTGTCATCAGCATAGTTGGTTAGTTATTAAATAACATAAAAATGTCAGGTTGGTTTTAATCAAAACTAGTAAATAACATTTAGTAATTTACAATAGCTGATTTGTTATTTTTCAGTACATTAATGGATATAGAAGAGGTGAAATTTGGAGGGTTAAATTTTACAGCCATACACACACCAGGCCATACAGTAGGTCATGTTTCGTACCTTCTAGATGGTCAGGCACTTGGAGCACCTGATTGCCTGTTCTCTGGAGATCACCTGTTTCTTGGTGGATGTGGTATGTCATACTTGTTACATTATAACTTGTTTCATTCATCAATGTCTCATCTTACATTGACCAAGATTAGAAAAAAACTAGAAAGCCGTGTTATCAAACCACACAGCACCTTCATTTATTGACTGATATCTGAAGTGGTGATCTTTCAATCTATATACCTTTGGTAGAAGGTTTCGGGTCATAGTAAGGCAATATTTTGTACTTTTTTAATGAAAAGATAAAAATTATTTTTCTGGTTTATTTAACATTTTATATATATATTTAGCTGAATATCAAAACATATATTTTTAGCAAATAAGAGCTGCAAACATCATATAGTGTGTAAGGCTGCATTGATGTACAGTCTGGTCTCACTGTGTACAACCGACAGTCTAATGTGACTATTTTTTGTGGTTATATAGGATCATTGATTTCAATTTTTTTTAATGTAATAAGTTATAAAAGATTTTGCCTCTCTCAAATTTTTTTTGTCATGAACAAACTCAATTGAACCAAGTCTAAAATTTCAACCTTGTAATAATTGTTTACATTGCTGTCAAAGAATCTCCTGATTTCAGAAATGTTGGTGAACTCTCATTGTTTAATATTTGTGTTTAATTACAGGTAGAATATTTGAGACACCACCTTTGAGGATGCTAAAATCATTGGATGCCATCAGTAGATTAAAGAAAGATACGTTAGTTTGGCCAGGTAAATTATCGTATTTATTACAAATCTATTTTATATGTTAATTATTTTGTGAGATAGGGGAAAAAAATAGACTTTATGAATATGGACTTTTTATATAATTAATAGGATCTTATGGTATAGTTAACACAGAATTAATTTGATGTTAAATTTGGACTCATTAACATAGTTAAAATAAGGGATTTTACCAGGGAATTATAGTTAGTCAGAATTATAAAGTTGCTGACCATTTGAAATGCGACTTTAACCAGTTCCCTAACTGAAATGATAAGTCAAGTATTGCTTGTAGAATAGAACTGCTACCATAACTAATATAATAACTCATGTAAGAGGATAACATGACCAATCTAAATAAGTTTAAATTTTATTAAAAACCTAATAGTGTCAGGTATGCTCTAACCTTTTTATGCCCCCCTTCGAAGAAGAGGGGGTATATTGTTTTGCTAATGTCTGTCTGTCTGTCTGTCGGTCCGTCCGTCGGTCTGTCGGTCTGTCCGTCGGTAGACCACGGTTTCCGCTGATTATCTTGAAAAGTATTTATCACAAAGTCTTCATATTTTACATAGTGATTGGTCATAACTAGTATATGACCCCTATTGATTTTGGGGTCACTAGGTCAAAGGTCAAGGTCACAGGGACCTTAAATGTGAAAATGGTTTCCGCTGATTATCTTAAAAAGTATGTATCACAAAGTCTTCATATTTCACACAGTGATTGGTCATTACTAGTAGATGACCCCTATTGATTTTGGGGTCACTAGGTCAAAGGTCAAGGTCACAGGGACCTTAAATGTCAAAATGGTTTCCGCTGATTATCTTTAAAAGTATGTATCACAAAGTTTTCATATTTCACACAGTGATTGGTCATCACTAGTAGATGACCCCTATTGATTTTGGGGTCACTAGGTCAAAGGTCAAGGTCACAGGGACCTTAAATGTCAAAATGGTTTCCGCTGATTATCTTTAAAAGTATGTATCACAAAGTCTTCATATTTCACACAATGATTGGTCATCACTAGTAGATGACTCCTATTGATTTTGGGGTCACAAGGTCAAAGGTCAAGGTCACAGGGACCTTAAATGTCAAAATGGTTTCCGCTGATTATCTTTAAAAGTATGCATCACAAAGTCTTCATATTTCACACAGTGATTGGTCATCACTAGTAGATGACCCCTATTGATTTTGGGGTCACTAGGTTAAAGGTCAAGGTCACAGGGACCTTAAATGTCAAAATGGTTTCCGCTGATTATCTTAAAAAGTATGTTTCACAAAGTCTTCATATTTCACACAGTGATTGGTCATAACTAGTAGATGACCCCTATTGATTTTGGGGTCACAAGGTCTAAGGTCAAGGTCACAGGGACCTTAAAATGTGAAAATAATTTCTGCTGATTATCTTAAAAAGAATTCATCACAAAGTTTTCATATTTCACATAGTGATTGGTCATCACTAGTAGATGACCCCTATTGATTTTGGGGTCACTAGGTCAAAGGTCAAGGTCACAGGGACCTTAAAATGTGAAAATGGTTTCCGCTGATTATCTTGAAAAGAATTCATCACACAAAGTCATCATATTTCACATAGTGATTGGTCATCACTAGTAGATGACCCCTATTGATTTTGGGGTCACTAGGTCAAAGGTCAAGGTCACAGGGGCCTTAAATGTCAAAAGGGTTTCCGCTGATTATCTTGAAAAGTATTCATCACAAAGTCTTCATATTTCACTTAGTTATTGGTCATAAGTATTAGATGACCTCTATTGATTTAGGGGTCATTAGGTCAAAGGTCAATGTCACATGGGCCTTAAATGTCAAAATGGTTTCCTTTGATTTTTCCATAATTGAACACTTCCATGTACCCATTTTTGGCAAGTTTCTTTAATAAAATTACCAATTATGTGAGTCAATGGCTAGAAAGGGGGTATATGTGTCGTTCGACATTCTTGTTTTAAATATATTTGAATTGCATCATTATTAATGTTCCTTTACCACAATTCACATGATATTTTCACATTTCTACCTGATTTGATATACACAAGCTGTGATTATGTATTTCTGTAAATGACACATGTGTAAGATAGGTCCACTATGAAAAAATATTGTTGTGAAATTGTCAATTTTGCCAATACATTTTATAAGAAAATCAGCTTATAAAAAGCTTGTGTAAAGTAATATAATTCTTCTCAAGTGTTTAAAGAATCTCACATCACCTGTCATATGACATGAATTTTTATTAAAGTTGCCCAGGAAAATGTTTAATATAGCTTGCCAGATTTACACTCAGATGAGGCCTGAAATATATTATTTATTCTAGTCATCTTATTATTTCATAAGATTTATACTGTGCTCCTCTTAGTTCACGGTACTTAACGCTTTGAAGTAAGAAAGAAAACAACAAATGAAACTTATGGTACAAAAATTGTCATAAGCTGTAGCATATAGGTATTTTCTGCTGTATGACACAAGGAAACAACTATAAGTTTAGTCAAAATTAGTTTAAATGAGCCAGATGTAGACCATTTGTCAGCCATTTTGAAAACAGTATGTCATCTGTTAAATCGCGGCAATGGTGTTTTATTTCAATTTTTTTCATGTGTCAGTTTAAATTTCTACATGCTATTTTGCATAATTTTACATATTAAAAGTATCTTTACATTGTAACCCCAAATTTATTTTTCAACTAAGAAGAACATTTAGTCAGATGTATGCACAAAATTAAAGGACTATTGTTGCTTTTTATAGAAGATTGTAAAATGTTGTTCTGTTTCACGTAAAAATCTATGGATTTAAAATATTTTGCAAAAAAACTTTGTTGTTTAGGTGTTTGAATAAAATATCTCAATTCTGACCAATTTTAATGCTGGTCACATGAAAATATGCCATTACCGTGAAATAAGTGATGACGCGGAATTAGTGATGTTGAGTATAAATTTGTAGTGTCACTGCTGAAATTGTCAAATTTAAAAAGTCCTGTCTTCTGGAAAGTAGGACATATTAAATCCTTCTGACCAGAAATAATAACATTATAAGTACACATGAAACACCATACCTAACAGATCAAATAAATACACATAGGTTAAACTTATAAAAAATTGTAGGCATGTCAAGATTTTAGATTTTCTAGATTTCAACAGGTTGGTTTTTTTGGCAAAATTTTGCCTTTTGACTTGGTTTTATGTTGCACCAACACAGTTTAGGTCATATGGCAACTTTCCAGCTTTACTGGTGCAGGAAGACCATCATATTACCACTGGCGTTCTGTAAACTAGCTGGGTAGGGTCTTATTCCATAACAGGATGTCACCATTAACAGTTAATATAATGGATTTTCCCTATTTGGAATTTATATGGAATGGTCTATTTTAAAAAATAAAGTTTTTGGAATTTTAATATCAAAATAGAAAAATAGAAAAAAAGGAACTGAGCTACCAAGCCTGATCAGACTGGTCTAGTACATTATAAGATTAAAGTTACATGTATTTTGTATTCTTTCTAACTGAAGCATCAGCTGTTACATATGACATTTCAATACACGAAGGCATGGTGACCTTACAGTTTGTTTTTTATTAATCAAAGATCATTAAACATAACAGCTTGTGTTTGACATGTCCTTTTAACATGAAATATTTTCAAGACAAGCCCAAAAGATAACATTTCACAAATGTTAAAGTAATTTTATTTATATTTTTTTTTATTGATTATGTCATTTTAATACTGATCTTTATTCTATAAATAGATAGATTTATTTAAGTATAGCACAGGAATACACATGGTTTAAAGAAAAAAACTTTGTGCATACGTGCATATATCCAGACACTGCATACAACAGCTGATGAAGCATTTTATTCACTTCAATATACAAAGGATAAAATGAAAATAGAAAATAAAATTCTCCCTGATTTTCATTGTTGTCATTGACATTGATTGCACAATACAGAAAGGCATGTCAATTTACTTCACATGATGGGATTGTTACAAGCATGTATTGCATTGTAAATATCAAAGTTTTAGTCATCACAAGACATTATAATCCATTAGATCATTTCAATAAACAATAAAAACCACATAAATGGTGAGTTGAATAAGTAACCAAGCATTATTTCAAAAAGTACTATCTTCCGAAAATGAGTCTGAATGCAATACTAAAATAAATTTAAGAGCAGAAATAAAACAAATATTGAATTTAAAGAAGTTTAGTTACTATTAATGATACAAATAGTCATAGTAAATACTAATAATTTAAATACTCAACACGTGCTTCAAAATTCTTAAGCTCTATAAGATGAAGTAATGCCTGTAGCAGCTGACCACGCCTCAAGACACATACTCGATCTTCAAAGAAATTCTTATCAAACTCTTTCATATTTAAAACAGCATGTTACTCTGAAAATAAGCTTAGATAAGTCAACAGTGTTGCTAAAAGATGTTGCCCTGAATTTGTACAGTAATGATCTATGAACAACTTTGGGACATCAACCTGCAATGCAATATTCCACTTGCGCAAAGCTTGTCTTAAATAGTCGTCACTTTTGTTTTTGCTCATTTGTCATTTTTGCTATATTTCCAAACATTAAAGATAAGTAAATTTAGATCATCATAAATTTATATAAAAAAAAATCATGATCATTTTCCATATTTTGGTTATCGTATTGACACCTGTTCTATGATCTTCCCTTACTAAGAGGCAAACAGACGAAAATTAAACTTCTAACCACTAAAATTTGTTATTGATAATAATGGCGAAATTTGAAGTTGTGAAAAAAATCTGTTATCCAGTACTATATAGTTCCTGGTACAGTAAAACCAAATATTTTCTCTCTTTTAGCCAAAAAAAAATGCATTTTTATTTACAATCTGTGGGGTATAACAATTATTTCAAATTTCTATTTAACTTCAGGACATGAATATGCTGTGAACAATTTAGAATTTGCATGCCATATAGAGCCTGACAATGCCGAGGCTCAGGCAAGATATGAGTGGGCTAAGGCAAAACGGGAAAGGAGGCTAACAACTGTAAGTGTTTCTGCTATTTTAATAAAGATTACCTGCTTTTTGTATAAGTTTACACTATTGTTAATTGAAGTGTTTATACTGTATGATGTTCTGTTTTAAATCTTGACCTTCCAATTACTTGTTTAAGAGATTTCTGTTTCAGATTAGAATACTTATCAGTAATAAGTACTGTACCCCCAAATTCTTTTAACTTAAAATATTTCTGTTATCATATTCTAATAACATGTCAAGTTTTATGAAATTCTGTTTAAAAGTTTTAATTTTACCTATATGTCTATATGAAAACTCCCCAAAAACTTCTTTAACTGTATAAACAAAATAGAGCAAGCCAATGGCCCTCCATTAAACAAAAAAAATAACAAAAAATAAAATTGCGCCTTGTTTTGATAATAATAATGTCCGTCTGTCTGTCAGTCCAGTCATATGGGACAGACATTATGGGGTTAGGGTTTGTGTACATCTTGATACATGTATTATGAGATTCATTCAGTACAACTGTACTTTTGGGTCTGAAAAGTAGCTTGTGGGTTCAAAAAGATCAAAAGAAGATGAAAACAACAGGGTCACAAGGTCCATTCCTTGAGGATGTATATCTGAAACATTTTCATAACTGCTGAAACGTTTTCTAAAGATCACCATTAAAAAGATAATAATATGCAGTGGGCAACAGTCAGCTTGCTTAAACACCCAAGGTCAAGTGACACTTAAACATCAAATCTAAAAAGTACATGTTCCCTGTCAGCTATAATATATAATATTTAGTTTTTAAAATCACTTGGAACAAATGCTCACCATTATTGTAAAATTTGTATAGAACAAACATCAGGTCACTATCCCTATGGTTAACGTTATTTTAAAGATTAAATATAAAAAGTTTTCATTTTAGTCTGCATCATAACATCATAACTTTTAAATTGCTTAAAATTTGTTTGAATAACTTAGCACAAATTATCAACTTCACAGGATAATGTGTAGAGTTGATAAACCAGGTTGCTTCTTCCAAGGTCATACTTAAAGGTCAATCAAGGTTAAAAAGATCTTCTACAGAAGGGGATAAAGATTTGGACTGCCTTGTTGAGTCATTGAATAACTTTAATCTAACCAAATCAGGTTGTCTGAGAATTTCTTAGCTCAACAATGGTGTTCACAATAATATTTTACAAGAAGCTGCTATTTCAGAGGCTATTTGCAACCAATTCTAGCCTAGTAATAAGACATGAAGAATTAAATAAACATGTTTTTATGCCACTGCAGCATCTGGCTGCGATGCGGTGGCATATAGCGATTCACCTGTGTGTGTGTGTTTGTTTGTGTGTGTGTGTGTGTGTGTTTGTTTGTGTGTGTGTGTGTTATATAGATTATATAGTGAACTTAAAAAATCTTCTTGCGAAAAACCACTTGTCCAATTTCAACCAAACTTGGCAGGATTGATCCTTTGGTGAAGGACTTCCAAAGTTGTTCAAAGAATTTCATTCCATGCAGAAATCTGGTTGCCATGGCAACCAAAAGGAATTATAAGAATAAATTTTAAAAATCTTCTTGTAAAGACCCAAAAGGCCGAGAGCTTAGATATTTTGCATAAGGCATTGTCTGGTAGACCTCTACCAAGATTGTTCAAATTATAGGCCTGGGGTCAAAATCGGCCCTGCCCCGGGGGTCATTGATTTTCACTATATGTACATATAGTAAAAACTTAAACTACCTTTTTGTAAAGACCCAAAAGGCCTAGAGCTTAGGCATTGTCTGGTAGACCCTTACCAAGATTGTTCAAATTATAGCCCTGGGTCAAAATTGCCCCCGCCCCGGGGGTCATTGATTTTCAATATATACATATAGTAAAAAATCAAAAAATCTTATTGTCTGAAGGTACGAGGCTTAGAGCTTTAATATTTGTTAAATGATATCATCTATAGGTACTCTACCAAAGTTGTTCAAATTTTGCCTCTAGTGTCAAAATTAGCCCCGCCCCAGGGGCCATAGGTTTTCCTTATAAAATTATGTATATAGTAAAAACTTAAAAAATCATCTTCTCTAAATTTACAAAGGCTAGAGTTAAGATATTTTGCATGAAACATTATGTAGTGAACCTCTAGCAAGATTGTACAAATTATAGCCCTGGGGTCAACATTGGCCCCACCCCCAGGGGTCATTGATTTTCACTATGTACATATAGTAAAAAATTAAAAAATCTTCTTGTCTGAATGTACAAGGCTTAGAGCTTTGATATTTGGTATATAATATCATCTATGGGTCCTCTACTAAAGTTGTTTTAATTATGCCCCTAGTGTTAAAATTGCCCTGCCCCAGAGGCGATAGTTTTCCTTATATGTATAAAGATCTTCTTCTCTGAATAGAAAAATCTTCTTCTCTGAATTGACAAAGGCTGGAGGTTAAATATATGGCATGAGACTTTGCAAAGTGAACCTTTACCAAGATTGTTCAAATTTAGCCCTGGGGTCGAAATTGATTCCGCCCCGGGGGTCATTTATTTTCATTATGTACATATAGTAAAAAAATAAAAAATATTTTTGTCTGAAGGTACAAGGCATAGAGTTTTGATGTTTGCTATATAATATCAAAAGAAAAGTTGTTCAAATTTTTCCCCTGGTGTCAAAATTGGCCCTGCCCGGGGCAGTGATTCTCATTATGTACTCATAGTAAAAACAGAAAATAAAACAAATGTTTTCTGAATGGGAGAAAGCTACAGCTTAGATATTTGACTTGAAATGTTGTTTGGTGGACCTGTATCAAGATTGTTTTGAATTAAACCCTTGGGTCCATAATTTTGCCTTGCCCAAGGGGACAGTGACCTACTTTCTTGTCCTTTGATGTACAGCAATGAAATTTTGACCATGTGCACAGTTTTAGTTGTAAAATTGAACTTTGATATCAGGTGATCTAGATTTTGATGATGTGACCTACTTTCTTGTCATTTGATGTACAGCTATGAAATTTGAACCATGTGCACAGATTAAGATGTAAAGTGAACTTTGATTTCAGCTGACCTAGATTTTGACAAAGTGTCTTACTGTGTTGTCCTTTGATGTAGTCATGAAATTTTGGCTGTGTGAAATATGACCTTCACCACCAAACTCACTAGACTCAAGTGCATTGATATATTCCTACTCTGATCTTTTTTATTGTGTTAACAACAGATTTAACCACTAATCTGATAATAAGAATAAGATAGGTCAGGGATCTATGCATTATGACAATTTTCAAAATTGTATAGAAAAAAAAAAATCTGTTCCTACAATACTATTTAGTGTAGTATTAATGCGGTGGCATAGCATTTTTCTCAAATGCAATCTTGTTGACCTTGGTTTTCATCAAAGATTAATGTTGCCATTTAAAGCTGTCATTCTTTGATCTATCTGAAAAAAAGTCTCCATCATCTTGATAAAGGAAAAGATTGACAACATGTGCAGCGTAAACAAATAAACAAACAACTTTGCATGTATTACAATGTGTCATGATAGGGAGTGTAGGAAGTTATAACCTTGAAATGTCTCCCTTGTGATGAAATAGAATTGCACTTTAATATTGACTCGTTTCTTTTTTTATTTTCCAGTGTCCATCAACAATAGGTGAAGAGTTAACGTATAATCCATTTTTACGCACTGATAAAGATACTGTAATGAAAAAATTGACAATTTGTGATGTGTCTGAAGATACAACAGTATTGGTACCCCCTGATGATGAGCTAAGAGCTCAGGTGTTGGCGGAACTTAGAGAACAGAAAGACTCTTTCAAGTACATTCAGTGAAATTCTGAGATACATGTACTCGGACATTTTATTGCCTTTTAAATAACATTGTATTTTTATTGCAGCTGTATGTCTGAAATAGCCTTTTACATGTATTGTATTTGAAGATTTTTAAATTCTCCTGCAGAGGAGACTGCTTTTAACATATCCTTAACTATAAAAATCCTTTATTTGTTGATGATAATAAACAGCTGTACTAGTCAATCCAGGTTTGATCATAACATAGAAATACATTGTCCAAAGGTCCAACATTTCATGTGTGGTAAAAATATGCATACTTTTTAAGCAAACACATGTTTTGAACAAATCTAATATTACCCGGTTATAGTGTTGATAGAGGGTAAGGAGAAAAACATGTCTAGTTATTTTAATGAGCAATACCAGGCCATCATGACTTAAGTTTGCTTTTATTGGCGAGTGTGTAGTTCTAGGCTCAATGATTATTTTAAAGGCGCAGTGTAGCTGTTCATGAGATTTGTTAAGGTATTTTTCTAAGAATTTATTCAAATTCATTACATTATAATTCAAGTATTTTTCATTTAGGGAAAAAAATGATTTTTTAATGATTATTTTTCCTGATATTTGATAATTTCTGACATTGATTTGACAATTTCAGTATTAGAACTTGTTTTAGGTATCTTTTTAAATTTGAATTTCAATCAACAGTGTGGACATTCACATTCACAAATCATTTATTTTGTAATATAAATAAAGTAGAACTTCCTGTATACCTGTGTTAATATGTGAATTAAATGACCACCATTTACTGTAAAACAGTGTGATATACATATATGTGTACAATTGCTTTAGTGAAAAAATGCTTCTCTAAGCTTTTGAAAATTCTTCCTTTTTAGATAGTAATTGACATTATATGTAACTTTTTTATATAGATAGATGTAAATCTATACAATATCAAGTTAAATATTCTTATTGGTGTATATCATCTTTAAAATATACATGTTGTTTTATGCTATATTTGCTGCATTTGCCAATTAACTTTAACATATGATCATTTCTAGGAAACATAATAGGTATATACCAATATTAAGTGAGGAAATTATACTTGTCCACTAATACATGTGATATAAAGTAGAGTTGACACTCATTTTGTGTATATCCACCTAGTTTATGGAAGGTTACTGGTTCCCCTCAAGTGTCTACTCATGTCTGAAAATATGAATGGAGGGATACTTGAGGTCAAATGTAAAATGTTTTAAATTGATGTTGTCAAAACTTGGCATTGTTTTTTTCTTCCAGAAAGTGAATTTTTCTATATTTTTGCATATTCATGAATTCGTGTCATTGACAGTTTGGAAATCTGAAGTGTCAATGAAGAAAACAATGTAAAATGCAGGTATCAGAAACAAATTTGACTGTCAGTTTTGCCAATATATAACTATGGCAGATCTGTAGAAAATAACGGTTTAGTTTTATAAGATGTGAGATGATATTTGTTCACTTACTTATATCTTAATATAAGGTATTATGAAAAATATAATTTCACTATGCAAACATGGTATTGTTTGCATACATTTCCCTTAAAATATAAAAACATATTTTTTTAAATATAATCATTATACTCTATGTCAAATAGTGTATTATTGTAAAGCCTTTATCTTTGCTATTGAAATAAACATTAATTATAATAAAGATCATTTGGTAAGAATTTACTACATTGCCAATTTCTAAATATTATCCAACTTTGGGCAAACAATTTATTCACGATTACTATAAATTTGAAAGGAAATTGATTTTCAAGTATTAATGAAAATTAATCTAATACAAATGAAACCAGCTTTACAGTATCATATAACAAGATGGTTAGATTCTTCAAATGATAACATCAGGTTCTTGATCTTGATAAAATTTATATGTAAATTTCTGCTGGAAGGAAAGTATAACTTTCTGCTGGAAGGAAAGTTAAAGTGTGTTTCTTGTTTAATTGAAAGTTGTTAATTTTTCATCCTATTGTCCATTCCATGTTGTTTTTTATTAATCAATATTTAGAGATTGATGCCACGTTTTAAATCTGTTTTAATGGTTTTCTCTTCTTTTTTTCCATTGTTTTCATGTATATATTGAAATTTAACATTGTTTTCATGTATATATTGAAATTTTACATTGTTTTCATGTATATATTGAAATTTTACATTGTTTTCATGTATATATTGAAATTTAACATTGTTTTCATGTATATATTGAAATTTTACATTGTTTTCATGTATATATTGAAATTTAACATTGTTTTCATGTATATATTGAAATTTTACATTGTTTTCATGTATATATTGAAATTTTACATTGTTTTCATAGTATATCACATAGGGAATACTCAATCAGCTGAACAGAATAATTTAGTTTCTTTTCTCTATGAGTTAAAATACTCAGTTGCTTGTTTACTGGAACTAATAATATGATAGAGAAATACAGGGTAAACATTTAATCCAAAATGTAAATTTTTGATGTGCTGTTAATCTGACTAACTATAGCAGCATAATCCTGGTATGGCAGAGCATTTATGAGACAAGAACTACATAGTGATGGTATGGCAGAGGAATTGGAAAACATAGAGATGTTTATTAACACCCATATATTATTTTTTACTTCAGACAAAATTTTTATCACTGCAAATTTACTTACCTTTTTTAGTAAATTTTTATTATGAAAAGAGAAACAAACACATAAACTTTAAAAATCAATTATTTTATTCTGTCACCCTATGCAGTGTCAGCATGTATGTCAGTCTGCAAGGTATTCTAAATGAATATGAATTCATATGAAAAATTGACCATGCAGAATGTATCATTGATGATATATTGTATTAAATTTTTGTACTATATCACAAAAATTCCAGATGGCCATATTTTACATGTACAGCTCAAATTCATTAAATGTAGGCCATTTTCTTAATAAGAGTCAAATAATTGAAATATCAACCAACTATCCTACATGTTTATCTCCTGGACTAACTAGGTAATATGACAAAAATATCAATTTTAGTCACATAACAGACACAACATTTTTGATACATTTCTCAAAAAATTTAAAGCTGATTTTCAAGCTATATGAGCAACATTTTTTTGAAAAATTGCAACATTATTTTGTTCAGTGTGGCCTTGTTGATGGGTATAATGTGAATTATTATTTCCATATATATATATTGAACATTAATTTCATTACATGTGACTAGAAAAAATAGATTGTAGAACAAAGGTGATAAAATTGTTACTGCAATGATGCAAACTGAGTTGACCATTATTTATGTATAAGCTTAAAGTTTTGTGTTTCAACCACATGAGTAAAGGTTGTTGTTTTTTTTGGTTCCATTATCTAGGCTTCATTTTTTTATCATAGATACATTTGTATATTAACATGATATTTAATATGATAGAAATCAATTATGAATAATCTCTTCCACGATGCATTATTTATTTTTGCTTTTTGATATTTTACTAACCATGTGACAATTGTGCTTATTCCCTGTCTTAATTGTAAAATGTATTTCATTACACCTATATTTGTTATATTCAGCATTATTTTGATAAGTGGTGTGATAGATTGTCAACTGTCACTGGTAAAGTTGCCATTTTGTTTTCATTTAACATCCCCAGAAGGTTGCGTTTTTTCAAAAGCGGGGCACTAATAGAGGATATTGAATGAGTGTAAGTTCAATACTGAATTTATTGCACGAGTTGAATAAAAATATATTATGCGAGCCACATACCCAAAATAAAGACCGTTTAAAGAGAAATAAGAGTCATTTTTCATTGACGCGCCTATAGTATAACGCTAACATTTAGCGCGTCATTACACTATGTTTGTATAACGCTAATGACGTCACGTCAAAATATATGCACGGCCGTGCAATACCATATTTACGGAGTCGCAAAATCGGCACGGGTGTGTGATAAATTAAAATATGTATATCAAAGATACGAGAATCAGTTTGATCTGAATTACGTTTGGTACAGACTCCATGCAAAAATCATAAAGAATAAATATTTTAGAGAGTATGTCCGGTTATTTCACCCCTCATAAAATTCAATTATTAAAAGCATTATTTATTATTCTGGTTTAATATATAACACAGGATTATTTTCTTAAATTATTTTACATAACTGGTGTGTCATTATTTGTTATTTTTTAGATAAAAGTATTTTTGAGTTTTTGGATTGCTCTTTCGTTATAGATTATCAATCTTTAAGGTTTGATTTTTTTACTACAAAATGTGGCATTTTTGGGGAGGGCAAATTAAGGAGGGTGGGGAAGCGTTAAATGGAAACAATACGGTACCTGCTATACATATGTTATGCCACAGCTTTAACAACCAGAAGCCATGCTAGCGTAAATTGAGACTAGTATAGTATAAAAATGTGCAGTTGTCAGCCTCTATACTGATCCCATTCCATAGGCAAATTGTAAATTGTTACTGTCATAAGCATTCAAAGAGTTTATAATACAATATACAGTAATTATTCAAGGAAAGACAGGTCTGTTCTATATTCAGATTGGTGAAGGTTTAGCAAGAAAGGAGTTTAGTTAGTTTACAAGAATATTTCCTATTTGCAAAAATAAATTATATCATATATGATTGACAGAATATGTACTCTGATTAAACAGAAACAGAGTAAAATAAATACAGAACAAGTTAAGAGAGAATTATGTCACCAGAAATTTTGTTGAAGAATCATGTACATGTAGTTGCCAGTTTGTACTGCCTTCATTTGGTCATTCAGACCTTCCTCCGATCCTTCAGTCATACTTTCTTATTATTTCTTATTGTTGCATCTTTCAGGGATGTAGCTTGATCTAAATCTATGAGTAGGAAAAATTTCTATGGGGAGTTGTTGGGCAAGCTCCACCAAGAAAAGTTTTTTTGATCTTGCTTCATGATGCAGGTTTTAGCATTTACTTAGAACAATGATACATTGGGATTAATAGAAATTGCAATAAGTCAACTGAATTATTTTTTTTCTTTCACTTTCTTCGAAAAAAGTGTAGGACAACTTTAACCCAAACCATCATCATAACTTTTGAGTTATTTCCCTATGTTATGTTTTATCATATTTTTTTCTGGAACAATCCTTGGAAAGTATTTGAGATACTGGCTCAAAATTTCATAAGTGGTTAGATCTTGTTGAGGAGGAGTGCATTACACAAGAAAAATGACTACTTTTTTTTTCAAGTTTATTTTTGTATTTTTTTTTTTTTGGAGCATGTCTTGAAAAGAAATACAATATTATCACATTGAAAATGTTACTGTCTTTTTTTCATTTTTTGCATTATTTTTGTCCATACTATAAGTAAAAGTGCTTTAGAGATATTACATGTTCATGGAAAGATCATTAAAAGATTGATCACAGGGAAAATGGGATGTAGTTGACAGAAATGAAGAAGAACTCACAACATAATAATTTTGGAGTTATTAATTCCCTGCTGCGTTCACTCCTTAAGCTTTAAACTATTGAAAAGTTATTAAAATAATCTTGGCACAAATGATCATTATGAGACAATGTGCAGAGCGCAATTAAAGGTGAAATGTAAAAAAAAGTCCTCATTTTTCATGTTCACTCCATAAGGTTTTAACTAATGAAAAGTTTTTAAAATAACTTGGCACAATCAATCACCTTTATAAGAAGATGTGCAGAGCACAACAACCAGATCGCTACCCCAAAGGTCAAGGTCTCACTTTAAGGTCAAGTGTAAACACATCAAATTTCATGTCTACTTTTATACCCCTTTTGAAAAACTGGTATGATGGGAATGCTCCTGGAAGGCAGGCAGTGTACACTTTTGTCGGAAGTATGGAGGGATTTTAATGAAACTTTATCAATACGAGAAGCCGTGCCATGCACATGAAACAGGTCAATGGTCAATGTCAGACTTAGATCTTTGAAAAACGCTTGTCCGTAACAAATCTTCTACATTCAAAGAGTGATTTCAATATAACTTGGCACAAATGTTCACCATTGTGAGGCAGAGTGTCGCATGCAAAATTTAGATATTTGCGGTCAAACCCACACGTAGAGGTTAAAGTTCAGATAAAAATATGGAGATGTGTATGGAGATTTACGTCAATATATGGAAGGTAAATGTTACTAGAGAAGATTTGATATTCAGATATTGTTCTGAGCATATCTCCTACATGCATGGAGGAATTTTAATGTTACTATATAGAATTCTTCACCTCCACCTGTGCATGAACCATTTTTTTATGTCAAAGGTCAAGATCACACTTAAATCTCTTTGAAAAATGCTTATGCGGAGCAAAACTTCTACATGCATTGAGGGATTTTAATGTAATTTGGCACAATTTTTCATCATTCTGAGGTAACCAAGGTCAAGGTCACACATAGAAGTAAAATTTCAGATAAAAAATACGAAAATATGTATAGGGACCAACTTGATTGCCACACTTCTTATCCCCAACATCAACATCTGAAGCTTTTGCGAAGGGCATATTCTGTGACAATGTCACCCTTGTTTAACTAATGAAAAGTTTTTTAAATAACCTGGCACAAATGATCTTATTTTTATATCTCCCTTCACACTTATCCATTTCAATATTCTACTGCGCCCGGGGATATAGCTGTCCTTCAGACTGCCTTAATGCCCTTTAATACTTTTTATGCTTAATTTGCATTTTTGTGTCCAGACTATAAAATGTTAAGAAATATTTTCTTTATATTTTGGTAATTTGCTGGTGTGTAGATCTGATATACCGATTTTGTACTTTTGGGGTTATTTCCCTTTGTGCAAATTGACTACATCTATTTTCCTTCTGTTTGAGGGTGGACTTGGCTTTTAGGATTGCTTGTTGTTTACACTCATGTTGATCTGATTGTTTTTAGATAGGTTTGCATAAATTGCGATAAAAAAGATGTTATTTAATATAATATTTTTTATTAAGAATTTGTGTTATATGAATACATCTTGTTGCCTTACTTAGCTAAAGTTAAATGTCTGATTGATGATAATCTATTCAATACGTGCTTCTACTTAATATAGACACAAATACTGTGTCGCTTTTATACATTGAATATATATGTATACAAATCTAAAGGTTTATATGCATTAATTATGTTTCTGTGAAAA